AAATGTGTTTATCTCGATGCGGCGCGGACGCGCCTGGAAAAAATGAGCGCGTCGCGACCGCGTCGCTTCCATTATGAGTGCGCCTGCCGCGGGTCTACATTTGAAATGACGAACTTGAGCGCACAAAAGATAATTACTGATTATAATGACTTATACTGTCTTTTTACGCGTTGCATTGCATCGCGCCGCGTAAACATAAAACTCTGTCTGCATTTGTGATCGGAGAAATGACAAACAACAAGTGCTACTCTACTGCCCAAAACTCACGTTTGAATCTTCAGTGGCAAAGAAAAACACAGTGGCCTACCGTGAGGGGAAGCCCCGTCTTAGCGTGCACTGAGGCCAGGATAGAGTGAGCTGAGGCGGGCTGCACTCCGCTTTGTCCACGGTGAAAGTTGATGTATTCCCTCAGCAACCAGCACAGATCAGCTCTAGGCATAACAAAGCGGATATCGTCCTCTTTTGGAAGACCAAACAAAGTAGTTTAGCTTTCACAACGAAACACAGCGTCACACACGGCGCTTTCACAATGAAGCACACAGCGTCTTCAGGACATGGCTGCAGCGTCAACAATACTACAGCGAGAATAAAAGTTACGCCTTTTTTCTTTGCGTGAACATTTGGGCGGTGTTATGCAAATCTTCCCACATAGTGAGGTAGACATGTGGGGGCGTGTTAGAACGAGCCGTTTTAGGTAGGCGTGGTTAACTCTTAACTTTTATAAAGAATATCTCTTTGGTTTTGAGACTTTAGTGTTTGCAACTTTACAGATCTTCTTTATGCACCAAGAGCTTGTAACACTCTAAAGAGAAAGGAAAAATTGAAATCGCATCATATGACCCCTTTAAGTAATCTCTTAACTCGGTTGTTATTAGAGCAATAATGACTGGCCTTGTGTTTAAAGCAGTTTGGAAACTTGTACTAACAAACCCTGAACCCAGATGACATTCCAAGCATAACATCAGCATTACCGGCTTTAAGTTCCAAGTTCTTGAAGGAAACCCATCCCTTCAGACATACCTTTTCTTCTGCCAGGGACAGCAGCTGTTTCTTGGCTTTCTCTACCTCCTCCGCTGGGCCTCTGATTGTCACTGCATCGATGCCAGAGCCCTCTGTTGGGAAATGGATGTGCACGCCACCACACTCCTCCATGATGGAACGCACAAAACGCCCCTTGGAGCCAATTAGGGAGTTGTGCAGTTTTGAGGGGATGGACACCTCAACCTCTGTAATATTTGCCTGCAAAAAATGAATGAATAAATAAATACATGCATTCCCTTCCATCCAAATGCACAAGGTTTTTGAAATAAGCCTCCTATGTATTATTTTAATTTGTTTTCCATTGTAATATTAAAATGTTGTTGTTTTTTTCCCTGTGATGGCAAAGCTTAATTTTCAGCTATTTCTCCAGTCTTCAGGGTCGCATGATCCTTCAGAAATCAAAGTTTAAAGGTAGTGTACTTCTTAACAGTAATACAAGGGAAGACTTTTAACTTGACATTTCAAAAATACAACTAATATCAAACAAATAAAAACCTCACCAGTTCTTTCTGAATGGCCAGGATCCTGTTTTTTGCGGCCTCACAGTTTGCCTTCTTTCCTGTGATGACAATCATTTCAGAGTTGCTGTTTTCCGCAGGCAGATCAATCTTAGTGTTAGTCTCTTCGCGGATCTGAAAAAAAGAGAAATAGTGCCAGTAAGTAAACAGACTGAAAATGGATGAACGTGCAAGAATCCTAAAAAGTAACTTCTTACCTTTTTTATATTTGCTCCTCCTTTGCCAATTATATTTTTGTGGAATTGCTTGAAAATGGGGACTGAGACAGAAAAGCTGTTCTCAACCTGGAAAGAACATAAAAATAAGACGGTTTAGGAAATGCTAAAATTGACGGTCGTATCAGACTGTTAAGACCAAAATGTACTTTTACACACACACACAGCCTGCCACAGTATACTCCATTTGAAAGCATGCATAAACACCAGCGGTTGGAATTTGCGCAATAAAGTTTCACCCTTGTCCAGTGAATCTCCAGACGTTATGTGTATACTGTAAAAGAGTATGTGTGCTTTAAAAAAAATAAAAAAATAAAATAGGATGCACAGAGTACTGCGTACCACGTGTGCTGATGTCGAAATTCATATTTCAATTCATATCATGCGCATTGCCTATTGAATGAGTTTATAAAAATAAAAAAAGATACTACATTGTAAGGCCTGTTTGCACCTAACAATAGTTTTTATAATCTAATTCTATGAGAATAGGGAAGCACGTCACAGCAATAAGCACACAGAGAAACAAAATGGAATAACTTTCAGAACAACTTTTTCCAGCTGATTAAATATTCTGAATCCACCAGGCAGACGACAGAACTGCAGCCTATGGTATAATAAATATATTCTAATAGATAGAATTATAATAGATAAGGTAATTGCGTTGTGGAAATAACAAGAATGAAAAATCCCAGATGTTAAGTGGAATGAAACCTTGCCATTGCCAAAATTAGTGTTCCTGATAGTGTTCCCAACCTCAGCAATTACGGAGTTGAATGAGACTCGGCAATAGAAAATTCAGGAAATTAGAAAGGGAAAAAAATAAAAAAATAAAAAAAAGTGTGTGTACCATTTCAGCCACCATTTTCTGCATAAACTTTGTGCACTTTTCCACCTCGGTGCGAGGCCCACGCAGTTGTACAATGTCACTTTTCTGCGTTGGGTCAGGGAAGTTGATGATAACCTGAAAGCAAGGAGGAGAAGAAAAAAAAAAAAAAGTTCTCTTTATTATAAGACACAGAAATGTGACATTGAAAAAATATGCCATGTATCTTAAAACATTTACCTCAGGGAACTTATCCCGAATTTCCTTAATTTTCTCCCCTTTCTGTCCGATGATGGCTCGATGAAAACGCTGTTCAATGATCATGTCCTTTGTACGCTCATTCTCCTGTTGAAATCATGACATTCTTAGAGACTTTCAGTCAAGAGTTGCCAGGCAACTCCAGCAAATAGCCCAGAGGACTTTATACTCTGAGGCTGTAGAGCCTACGGATGTTTTTTTCCACTAACTACACACGCACCTGACTCCAATTTAAGCATTACGCAAATAAATTTACAGCAGACCGTAACCTAAAGTAAATCATCTAAGACAAACGCAAACGATACAAGCACATAACTGGTAAACACTAACCTAAAAAACACTGTGGAGAGAATATGGTAAACAGAGCCTGCTTTATTCAATTACAAATCTATCCAACTTGCCATGCGTGACGCAAGCTCCAGCAGCTCCTTCTTGGCCTCCTGCACGCCCTGGGGGTCACCCTCAATACGGATCAGGTTGCTCTTCTCGTTGTCAGGTGGAATGCGGACTGACACTTTGTGCTGCTCCTTTATGCGGTTAACTAGATGCGGAGGGGGGAAAAAAATGGGTTTATGAAGGATACATGAATGTGTTCACATAATATCTGCTATAAACATCAAAACAGCTGTACTCACTGTTTGCACCGCCTTTCCCAATTAAGTGTCGGTGGAACTTGGGGTCCACGCTAATCTCTGTGTAGTCCATTCGGCTAACCTTTTATAAATACATGAAAATCAACCAAATTGTTTAGGACACATTGAGGCCAATATATGCCTAAATATAACAACGCAAGTGAAAGCATTTGCCTTGAAATAGGGAAGTTAAAGTCTTACCAGATCTGTAACAACGGCTTCAATCTGGCCCTGTACTATCTGTACATCTTTGGTGGGACCCTCCAGCGTGATCTTGTCCTCTCCCTCGGTGAACTCAATGTGCACCTGTTGATAAACACAGAGCAGTCTTACTGACCTGATATTTCAAATGGTTCAAAATTCAGTAATTTACTTATCCTCATTTGATTCCAAACCTATAAAACTTCCATTCATCTTTCAAACACAGATGAAGAGATTTTAATAAAACCCGAGGAATTTGTCCATCCATTCATAGACCATTCCACCAAAACTTTGATGCTTCAAGAAGTTCAATGTATCTGCATTAATGAATGCTCATATGCAAATAACAGGCTAAATTAATTCAGTTCATCATGTCTGTTCAGAAGTGTCAATTAAACGATTCATTTGGATTCATTTTAACATGTCTTTATGAAGCGTCAAGATTAGTGTAAAAGTCTTTCAATACAGGAACAGAAATATTTCAGGTTTCATTAAAAATGTGTGTTTCGTGAACAAACAAGACATTTTGTTTTGTCGGGTTTGGAACAACATGAGGGTGTATACAATACAATACATACTCATACAATAGCATCTGGCTATGTATTATTTTAATAGACTAATACAAAATAAACTAATGTATTTGCGACTCTTGGGTGTTTCTTCTTGGCTAGATTCCAGTGTCATTCTAAACTACCTATGCAGGTTGACACAACTACTGTGACCTTTGTACTGTCACTCTGACATGTTACTCTGGTCAAAAACATCTACTGAACATAAGCCACATGTACACATTTCCCTCATTGAGCAAGACAATAGAGAAATCTGGCTTAGCACTCTGACTTGATTAGCGGAAAGTTGACTCGCCTTGGGCATTTGCTGTGTGATCTTTGCCAGATTCTGTCCTTTCTTGCCAATAATGAAACGATGAAGCCAAGAGGGAGCAGAGACTGAGGACACAGTGTAGCTGTTGGCCTGTAGAAAAAGAGTAAGGGTCAAAGGTTACACAGTCAAATTGATAGCATTTCTGCGGTAAGATTTTCAATACATTTCCTAAATTAAATCTAAAAGAGAAGCGTGCAAAAGAGAGCTTGAGGGAAAGAATTCTTGTACTGATACATGCAGGGGAGAAGAAAACGAGCTTGTTTACCTTGGCATACACTTCAGTGAGTGCCTGGCCCAGCCGGTCTGGCTCCCCACGCAGGATTACGGTCTCTGAGCTGCTGTCGAGGGGTGGGATCTCGACCGAGACGCCGGTCCTGTCCAGGATCTCTTGCAGGGTGTTACCCTTAGGCCCAATCACATACTTGTGCTGAGATTTCTTCACCTCCACTGCAATAGTGGTAGCATTCTTCTTCTGAAATGAGCAAAAGGCCACATTTAAAATCATTACTTCTTTCACATAGAAATTCAGCCCTGCGTTTCAGAAGCATACTGTGGATTTTGGTCATTGCTGACCTTCTCCTCATAAATCTTCTTGATCTTGGCCATGGCCAGGGCCACCTGCTCTTTCTCCCCAGTGATGACGATCTCCGTTTTGTTCACACTTGGTGGAGGGACATTAATGCGGGCTCCTGTCTCCTGCATCCATTCCCCCACCAGCTTGTTATAAGCTCCAGTGATGAAGGGATGATACACCTTTTCAATGTTCATTCTCTCCACAGCACGCTTATCCTGCAATGATTTAATGAAACCATCCTTTACAGTGTTGTTTATTACTCAATAAATGAGTAAATAAATAATTAGCACTATCCCACATCATCTGATTTGTGTGATAAGCAAAAAAAAAAACAGCTTAAACTGAAATGACGTTTCAGACCTGCTCAGCAGAGATGAGCAGGATCTCGTGCTTGGCCTTCTCCAAGCCTTCCTTGGTTCCAGAGATCTTGATGAGGTTACTGGGGTCTTCGGGTCTAGGGATCTGGATCTTGGTGGCAGTCTTCAGTTCGAGCTCCTGCAGCTTCTCCCCACTCTTGCCAATGACAAAGCGATGATGTTCTTTGGGGATGGCCACAGTAGCTGAAGCCTGTAGTCAAGTAAATACAGAAGTTACAAATATTGTAATTCTGGCTTACACGGACAAGCTGATAGGCATTATCAGGTTATCTTCATGACCATTAGCGATAAAACATTGATATTAAACCCCTATACTATTTTACTATATACCGGTAATATTTCATTAAAACCCTATACTATTTTATTATATAATATTTCATATTACCTGAGTCTGCAGTCGGGACACAATCTCTTTGCGGGCTTTCATGACTGCGTCATGCTTCCCAGAGACCATAATGGAGAGGCCTTGGTCTTTAGCCATGGAGAGTTCCAGGTGGGCTCCAGTCTTGTGCATAATGTCAAGACAAACTTTAGCCTGGTCTCCTTCTCCAAACTGGTTCATGTCCTTGTACTTGCGCTCTTCCAGAGGCACATGGAAAACCTGTATTTCACAAAGTGGAAACCAGTCAAACCCCTGAATCAATATTCCCTGATATGGTTGTGCCGATAGACGATAGTATAGTGTATTGATGATAGTCAGAGATATTGCCTGTGGCTGATGCCTTAGCTAATAGCAAGACGGTTATTATTTTTTAGGCTAGTAATGCATCCAATTAATATTAGGGCTTATTTGTTCCATCATATTCCTTTCTCCACGATTTTACAGTGTTGCATGTTATATAACTGCAAATCACACACGATTCTGTTGAGTTTCTGAACGCAATGGCCAATCAGAGGCATTTATATGAGTCACCGCTGAAACAGGAGAGTTTTGTTGTCCAGTGCGCGCTTGCTGACTGAATTCTGACTTGCGAATTCTCACATCATAAACAACAAAGGGTTGATGCACATGCGATGGAAGTATAAAAGATTTATTCATCATACAGTGTAGATGGCTTCACTGGGAATGTTTTTTAAACCGCATAAACTCGCGCTAGACTGAGTCAGTGATGATGTTCTTTGGTAATGTAAATGTTCTTTGCTCGTTTTCTGTAGCTGCTTTTTGAATAACTGAGGAAATGTAAGCATTATAATTAGTACTTACAATGTTTCTATTAAATTGTTATGTTAAATACAAATTCAGTCATATTAAAAACATTCGGCTGCTTTTGGCCTGACGCTGGAGTTGGTTCACTTTTCGGCAATGAAACCAAGTAAATAAATAAATAAATTAGCGTAATATCGTGTATCGGCGATCTCACAGGCTGACGATAGGACGATATGACAATTGAGCATATAGCCTGTCACTAATTCCCAAGGTACAATAGTGACTGTAACAAGCTTGATGACTGTACCTGGGTGATTACTGAGGACTTGAGAGGTTTGATCTTAGTCGTCCAGGCATTTCCAGTCTCCTGTACCCCCTCTGGCAAAGGCTTTTCAGGCAGAGGGGGAAAGGCATCCTTGTAGGTGGGAAGGCTATCCTCATCTTCGGCACCACTAGGGCCTGCCACAGCAGCTAATAGGAAGAGAGAGGTACAAAATATAACATTAACTTTGCCAGAGAATGGTTACTGGTAAGTCAGAAATGGCTAAAATGGCCACATACATTTGACCTGCTCTGGCAGAAGGCCACTGCGATGCTCATTAAAGCTTTCTTGCGTAAGTACAGCGACTGAGCTCATGGTCGAAATCCCACGTTTACACGGAGTCCGAGTGTGCCACTAAGAGAAAAAGATAACATGTAATTACTGTATAAAGGAACAGTGTTTGGCATTACGACAGATATAAAACAAAATACACACTAGCAGTTAAAACAACCATTTATCAACATGGGTGGAGCTGAAACCTTTTCACAATAAAAAAAACTATGAAAAGATATTCACCATAGCTATTTTTCGTGTTACTGATCGTACTGGGAACAATTAATACATATAGGTTTAAATTTCATGTTTTACCCCGTTATTTTTTTATCAAAATGTCACAACTCAATTTTGTGGTTAAATAGACTTCTCTCTGCTGCCGTCTGCCGGACTTCTCCAAACATTTAGTCCACTTAAACCCAACCCATTTCTTAAAAACTGCCACCATCCAACCAAGAACCAATGGACCGAAGTCCCAGTCCAATTTTTTTTTTCTTTTACAATAACTCATTTAATTTAGATAGATGTATGTCAAAACAGAGAACTTTACTCTTCGTTACTACTTCGGTTTCATCACGAATTCGTTACTACTTCGGTTTCATCACAACTTTAAAGAAAGGGGAGAAAAATAAACTATTTTGGAAAATAACTTAATTTCACAAAACAGTGTGATTTGTTCTAAACAATATAAGAGAACACGATCAGAAGAAGCAATTTTAATGCAACTGATCCATTTTGTGGAAGGTCAAAGTTGCCCGTCTGTTACCTTGGCCAAGGGCTAATTCTAAGCCACGGAGTTAGTTGAACGAGCTCTAAAGCTAAGAGGATTTCCCCACTAACCCTTATTTACTGTACCCCGAGTATGTAGAGCAGCAAAAAGAATACGTTTCTACTTTGTAAATAAACGTTCCACAAAGCACGCTCACATTTAATTGAAAACATGCACACCACACCTCAGTGAAATATCTACTTGGTAGACTGCTCCCCTACACCCAGTACAGGACTCTGAGGAAACGACAAGATTATAAATGCTGAGGCTACGGTTACAGCCATGAGGCCTTGAGCCCTGAAAGACCAGACCACTCATTCGCTGTAGAAATTTCGATGTCAAAGACTAACACAGCTCTTCAAGAATAATACAAAATAGGCAGCGAAAGTGGTGTGCAAAATGATACAGTAAAATGGAAGACTATCATCTATAGAAGAGGTAACTCTTGGGGTAACTATCACTCGCGTATTAAGTCATACAACATTCCTTCCAGTTCACTCTGACAATCTGGCCCCTCAACCCCCACAAATGCAAACCTCACAGTACAAGGCTGTTTTACTGAGCTTCCCTGCATGCCCCTGCCAGGGCCTCTTCCTCTACAGGCCTCCTAAAGACTTGGACCCAGAGGCTAAAAACTTCAGACACATACATACAGCTCAAGGCACAAGCACTCCAAGGGAATTGATCCACAAGCCAAACACTAAAAAAAAACCTTCAAATGCTCAAATGACTAGTTTTATATAACACTTATTAAATCATATGATCACTCATAAGATGTGATTTGATCTTAAAGATCAGGCTGAACAACTTGTGACCCATTGGTATAAACACAAGACAAACAAGCATCTTGTGGTTCAAAGCAAGCATTAGTCATGTCAGCAAATGAATCTAGTAGAAACAAAGACAGTGGTCAATAATCTTACCAGCTAAATGGTCAGTTACCAGATAATCCGTCCTGTAAAGCTGCCCGTACGTGTCAGCCTGCCAGCTTTTGCCTAAAACAGAAAATGGAAAAGGAAAAAAAATGAGAATGTCTCCAATGATGCAAAACCACTTTAGGTTGCCAGAACTTAGTTACACGTGGCATGATTGATTTGCATTTCTTAAGACCTTGCATAATTCTTATTTAAATACATGCAAATGTGATTCATTAAATAAAATTGGTAATAGGAAATAAAGGACTGGTCCAGTCACCTACTTTTCAGTTTTCCTTACACAAGTTTCAAAATACTAAATCATCAACACGCTTGAAAAGATACATTCTCAAATAAATGTATATAAAGACTGTGAAACATGCAAAACTAAACAAAAAAACAAATTGTTTCTTAAGTGTTGAAATGGCCCAGCGGCTCTCCGACTTGCTAACGTGGCCATTCCTGCGTATGTCAGATTTAAATATGGCGGATTTACGTTACATTCACTCTTAGAATGACAAAAAAAAAAACAGCTGGCGAAATAGTTTAACAAACATAATAAAGAAATGGTTTGTGTGTCTAAAAACGAGTTTCGTATGTAAAATGTGCACCCTGTTGTATACATGCGCGCTACCTAAACTCATGACACGCCATGCTAACGGCTAACAGAGTAGGAAAGACGAATTTCTCGTTTAACACTTCATAATTTCACTATTATTCACATTTAAAAATGGATGGGCACATACTTAATCGAACCTAATAACGTGTGTTGTTGTGAAATACGACAGTTTTTTGTTGTTGTTGTTGTTGCTTTGCGGCGATGAAAAACTTGTCCTGGCTAGACACCAACTCCAGTAAACTTTGAGCTGCGCGTGCGCCATAGTGACACGTACACCAGCTAGCGCGAGCGCTAACACGCAAAGGATTTGGAAAACTTTACTCGTGTTGATCCTTTATAAACCTAATGTCCCGAGAATGACAACGTCTCACAAGTGTACACTGAAAACACGGCCTTTGCTGATGGACCAATGTGAATGTTTAGTCAAGATCAGCATTAAGTGATTGTCCACACAAAGTCCACGTAGGCATTAGAGCAAAGGGTGAAGCAGTGGGGAGAAATTGACATGGAGTCGAGCCAGAGCACATTTTAATGGCAAAACATTCAGAACGATGTGCGATTGTGCGTGCATCAGAAGTCAAGAGGAAGCAATGCAGACTGTCGGATGTATAATGCATATAGATTGATTTGCGGAATGAATTGTGACTTACTTGTGTTTGTGTTCCCGTCTGCCCTGTGTGGTGCAGAAGCTCGTAGTGAAACTCCACTGGCGAAAGGGAGGAGCAGCAGTCTGTGAGTTATATAGCTCAAGCCTCCTCCAATCACATTCCCTCACGTCACATTGCCCTTACAGATCATACATGTCTTTCTGAAAAGGAACGGCTGTAACATGTAGTAGTGGTGGGGATTTAGATTCATCTCAGTGAGAGTATTTTGAATCTTTTTACCAGAAATCGTTTGCATCTTTTCATCAGTTCATTCTTTCCGCAGGTTGCAGCAGCAGCAGCAGTAGGTGGCGATAAGTGAGTGCATTGTTTATAATGAATCAGACAATGAATTATTCCTCAATAAACAACGAGGGAAGTCAAAATAACTCATACTGTATTAAAACCTTGATTAAAAGTACTTTATTAAAACATATGTTCAAATATACCAAAAGCGTTTATCTACTAAGTAACTAAAATGGATTGGTATTTGGATTCATTTTTGTAACTCGAATCTTTTAAATTCACTGATTCGTTCATGGGTCAAAGACGAGACGTCACCATTTTGGTGTCCGCATCAAACTACATTTACAAAAGTCATTTTAAATGCATAAAAAAACATCTTAAATGCAAGTAAATTGTCTACTTTAATCTTTCAAATAACTTTTGTGACAACAAAATGTCAAAATATGGGGGAAATAATGTTCCAAAGTGTAAAATTGTCATTCAGCGTAATGGTCCGGACTTTGATTTTACCAATACATCTTTAAATAAATATATAAAATACCAAGTTAAAAAATATATTTGTTGTCTTGGCATTTTCAAGTAAGTATTGGCTGTGTTATATTAATATTAAGGACTATGTCTTATTGTTTTTTTTAAGTATTTAAATGGACAAGGGACTTTTGTCCCGAAAATGCAGTTTAAAGGGGTCATATGATGCGATTTCAATTTTTCCTTTCTCTTTGGAGTGTTACAAGCTCTTGGTGCATAAAGAAGATCTGTAAAGTTGCAAAGACTAAAGTCTCAAATCCAAAGAGATATTCTTTATAAAAGTTAAGAGTCAGCCATGCCTACCTAAAACGGCTCGTTCTAACACACCCCACATGTCTACGTCACGATGTGAGAAGATTTGCATAACGCCGCCCAAACGTTCACGCAAAGAAAGAAGGCGTAACCTTTATTCTCGCTGTAGTATTGTTGGCCATGTTGTGGAGTCGCTGTGTGTTTTGTTGTGAAAGCGAAACTACTTTGTTTGG